CTATTGTTATACACACTCGCAATTTTAGGTCAGTTCTCGTCCCAATCAATTTGATCGGGTCTAATATACATACGCAAAAGTTGTTGGCACAGACGATTCATCTGTTCAGTCTGGCCATTTGTTTCGGGATGCCTCCCTGACGGCATGGTCAGCCGTGTGCCATACGCTTCCATTAGCTTTTGCCGTGGCAGACTGGTGAACCTGATATCTCGATCAGACACAATGGTTTTAGGGAACCCATATTCAGTGACCCATCGCATCTGAAATTTTTAAAAAACAAGCTCAGTACGCGCTTCCGCTGGTAAGGGAACAAACATAGCGTATTTAGAGAAACGATCTACAATTACCATTACTTGACTATTACCATTGCGACTTTTACTAGACTCATGAAGTCAATTGAGATAGACTCACCTTGTTCACTTCGTATAGGTAATGGTTTGAGAAGTCCAAGAGGATTCTAGTGCGACAACTTGTTTCTCTGACATGCTAAACAGGTACGAACAGATGTTAGTACATCTTCTTTAAGTCCCTTCCATTCGAAACGTTCTTTGACTTCAACATATGTTTTCTTAAAACCAAAATGACCGCCAGAGTCGTGACATTCCCCAATCAACAAACTTTTGATCTCTTCCTTATGAGGAATACACAGTCTTTGTTCGGTTTGGTCAATCAAGAACAACAATCCATCAGTCAGTCTATAGTTGGGTAGTTGGGACGGATCTCGTACAAGGATACCTATGATTGGTTTCCAGATAGGATCAGTAGCATATCCTTGGCGAATATGGCCTTTCAGATCCATTCCCAACATCCAAGTATGAGACAATTGCACCAAAGAAATCACTTCGTCTGGACAATGCATTTGCAACCACATTAGACTTACCTTTGATCGTTTTGAATTCAAAATCGAAGGTATCAATAAACGCAGACCATCGTACCAGCTTATCAGACAGCCTAGGTTGTGTTTTTATCCACTTCATAGTAGAGTGGTCTGAATACACAGTGAAGTGCCTCCTAATAAGTAGTGCTTCCATGTGTTTAGTGCATAGACTAAGGCATATAACTCCCTTTCATAGGTGGAGTTGGCAACCTTTTCTGACGGCACTCGTGCAGACATGAACTCTATGGGCTTGTAGCCCTTGCCGTTATCTTGCTGAAGAATAACGCCAATCCCATACTGACTTGCGTCAGTGGTAACAATGAAAGGCAAAAACGGGTCAGCAATCTTAAGTACGGGGTAGTGAGTCAGTGCATATTTCAATTTCCGAAAGGAAGACTCGCAATCCTTATCCCACAACCAGATAGTTTCTTTCTTTAACAATCATAGCATTGGTGCAACAATAAGTGAGAAGTTTTTGACAAACTTCCTATAATAACTAGCTCGACCAAGGAAAGATCGCAGTTCAGTAATAGACTTAGGTTATGGCCAATCTCTAATTGCTGATATCTTTTTCTCTTCCGGCCATAGTCCTTCTTCGTTTACTATGTGTCCTAGGTATAACACTTCGAACTTAGCAAACTCAGACTTCTTCGAGTTAATCCTGAAGTTGCCCTCACGCAACTTCCCTAGCACCAGACGAAGGTGTTTCTCATGATCTTCTAGTGTCTTGCTGTATCAAGATAGACGATGACGAACTTATCTAGCCACTGACGAAAGAGTTCGTTCATAGACCTTTGAAAGGTCGCGGGGGCATTAGTCAGTCCGAAACGCATCACCACAAACTCGTAATGGCCATACCTGGTTCGGAATGCAGTCTTATGTTGATCCGCGGGTTCCACCTCAATTTGGTGGTATCCAAACTTCATATCAATCTTACTGAAAAACTTACAGCCCTGCAACTGGTCCAACAAGTCGTCAATACGTGGTAGAGGTTCGGCATTCTTAACAGTGACGGCATTCAACCCTCTATAACCAATACAGAGACGCAACTCACCTTCCTTTTGGGGCACAAATAAGACAGGGGCACCATAAGGAGAGGAGCTTGAGCGAATCTATCCTTTTTCTGTTAAGTCCTGCAATTGTTTTCTTAATTCCTCAAGTTCCCTAGGAGACATTCGATAGATAGGGCCCTTGGGAATCTTACTGCCAGGAATAATTTCAATTTGTGTGCTTGATAGCACGTTCAGTTATTCCTGTCGGTTCGGAAAATAAGTAGTAGAAGACTCTCCTGCTCTTTTTACTAAAACCATCATTACTTCTTGTTCCAATTTTTTTTTTGAAACCATTGAACGAAAGGCTGGGTAACTCGTACAACAAAAGGAGAGGCTAGAGTCTGACCCAAATTTATGAAACAGTTTGATAGGTTTCAATTCAGATTGCGCCTCTCGCAATTGCACAACCTTTTCTATTAACTTAATGTCTGGGTTGGCTTCCTCGTGCCAATCCATTCCCAGAATCAAATCAAATGGTAGGTTTTTTTTTCAATCAGGAAGGATACCTCATGCAAAATCTTCTTACCTTCTCTTGTTCGAAACGAACACTTAACACGATCAACATACTGCGAGACAGTGATCGTGCTTTTGTCAGCCAAAACAAACATGATAGGTTTAGACAGGTTTTTCACCTTCATTACGAGATGAAATTTGCGGATTGCTTTCTCGGATATGTAGGATCGCGTGGATCCTGAGTCTAACAGTGCACCTAAACGTGTACGTGCAATCTCTACATCCCCGAGTAGTAAGTCACCCTTAGACTTAGCTTTCTTAGCCCACGAGATTCATAGTGCCAGCAACTCGTTACCAAGCTCATCAAGAGAGTCGTCCAGAGAAATGGAACATAAGACAGGTTCAGGGTGTTCCAGACGATGGGCCGAAGAAGAACCATCGTCTGCCATGCGAGTCAAAGGGTTGGAAGGGTTAGTAGGCGCCCTACCTTCATCTTGGTCCAAAACCCTAAACTCGATAGGAGCAGATGTTACTCCTACTAGCTGCTCGTTTTTGGGTATCGAATATGTGGACACCGTGCAATCACTTGCCCCGCGATGCCACACTTCAAACATTGCGCGTTGTTCATTCTTTCTTGCCACAATTCCTGCGATATACCCATCTTCTCCCATGGCTTCCCGACCGCAATCCCGAGATATTCAGGAAACGAGCGTGGTTTCTTCTTCCTTCCGGGTGGTCGTGGTCCTCCCTTGTTGACCACTGCAGCAGCGACTTCCCCCTTCCCGGACTGCCACACTTCAAACATTGCGCGTTGTTCATTCTTTCTTGCCACAATTCCTGCGATATACCCATTTCCCATGGCTTCCCGACCGCAATCCCGGGATGTTCAAGAAACGAGCGTGGTCTCTTCTTCTTTTCGGGTGGTCGTGGCCCTCCCCTTTTGACCACTGCAGCAGTGACTTCCCCCTTCTCGGACTCACTGCTGCTCGTCACACCCTCGGCCTACAATGGGCGCTTCTCCACAGTGTCGTCATCAAGACTACGAGGGTGTGGTCCTGACGCTTTTGGCGCCAGAGTACCCACTTTCCTACACCTGCACCTCCTCCACCGCCATACTTTACTACAGAAGCATAAAAATTATTCACTTGTGAAGTCATTTGCTCTCTCTAGAGAGCCAGATCACGAACCTGCCTATAATTATATTTGCCAGATTTCGAGTCCCAGCCGTAGAACACGTGGCAGCAGCCACGTCAGCCAATGATGCACGTGGCAGCAGCCACATCAGCAATAGCGCATGGCAGCTGCCACGTCAGCATGCCAAGAAGACAGGAGCGAGCCGGCCACCATGCCGGACTAGCAGCGCCTCACCAAATCACAATGCCAGCGTCGCAACGTCGAGCCAGCGTCGCAGCGTCGAGCCAGCGTCGCAGCGTCGAGCCAGCGTTGAAGTCAACGCCTGAAGTCAGCATCAACACAAGACAGAATGAATGTCAAAGCCAGGAAGTCAGCTCTTATGTAGTGTTGACGCGGGGTCTGGACCCCGGATGCTGTATTCCTCAGCCACCCAGATCTCAATGCGAATGAGGGCGCAGATTGGCCTGAAACCGAATTCCCTCCGGCCTGGATGCTGTCTGGGTACCTGCGCACAACAAGTGAGTGTATCCAACCAAGGGCCTGGGTGCGGTACCTTTGACTCTACAGTTGACTTTGACTCTTGAATCTCCTGTGTGCAGCGCTCGGTCACACAGCCACACTCGACAGACTCAGGGCTGGGCATGTCTTGGTCACACAGCCCAGTGCAGACCAACTCAGGTCTGTGTTTCCTGGGGCTGAGTTCTGAGCCCCAGGCTACTTCTGAACAGGGTTACTGCAAAGGGGTGTTCATAATTTTCAGCAACTTCACCACTTGATAAATTTCAACTTTCAAGAATTTCATGATCTAGATGTATATTAAACTTGTCCTTCGGGACATCCGTTAAAATTGGAACGATACACAGAAGATTAGCATGGCCCCTGCCCAAGGATGAATCGAGAAATGGTTCAAATTAAAAAAGAAAAAAAAGAAGGGAAAAAAAAAAGATGAATATTAAAGTTAAAGATTCCAAAAACTTCAAAGTGGTGAAAATGCTGAAAAGACCTGAACCGCCTTGCTCATCTTCACCCCCTTCTTCCACTCCTACATCAACCTTCTGACACAGATTATCCTCTTCATCATGCCTGAATCTATGCCTCTTTGAAATTCCCCCTCTCCTCCCAGACTCTCTCTCTCTCTCTCTCTCTCTCTCTCTCTGTGTGTGTGTGTGTGTGTTGCCCTAGGACCAGCTCCCTACCCGCTGCCACTCTCCCTTCCACTTACCCTTTCCATCGCTCTATCATCAATCAAAGGCAAATCCAAACTTACACCGATCAGGCAAGGTACACTGGCTGTTGAAGAAAGGGTGGGAAATGGCATTCGTTCACAGGGTTGGAAGAGGAGGGGGGTGAAACATGTTCAAGAAAGTACGATGGTGTTCAGTCCTGCCCACAGTGAAAAACATTGTGTAGCTTCCACCGTCAGCATAGATGAATGTTCCCCAGATTCGAATAAAGGTTCGGGTGAATATCAGATAATGCCAAACCTGTAAACGCTGAGCCTCAGCAACATGCCGCTGTCTTTCCGCAACTTTAGATTCCTGCACACAAAAGTTGTGGCACAACATCAGAATTTGTATAGATTATTTCCACTAAATATTGTCACATATCTATCAACTAAAAGAGCGAAATTTGTGGACCAAATAATGAACATACAGTAGACAAGCACAAAGAGCACACAGAAACCATTCTTTCAATTTCTCTGGATCATTTCTTTTTTCAACTCCCCCTTAACTGTGCCTGTCACATACAAGGCTTGCCACATTGATGAAGTTGAGCGCAAGCTGCGCACATCCCCATGTGCCACAATGGCCCACTAACATGCCATGAAAAAGAGGCAGAGAAAAGGAGGAGGGGATAAACAGAGAGAAAAAAAGGGAAAGAACAGAAGGCAAAGGACGGCGAGGGAAAGTAAAGGAAAGTAAGGAGTGTGGAATGAAGATGAAAGCGAAGGAAAGGACAAGAAACAGCTCAAGAATCAGTTCGACTTTAATAATAGTGAGGACATATCATTGTAAGGATGAGGTGGTGGATGAACACATGGAAGACCTGGCTGAGCATTCTCAGTAAAACAATTGCAACGACAGCTGGCATTGAGCATGCTCACCATACTGCAATGAATTGCAGTTCTTCACTTGGCGGGCTGTACATTAGTTAGTTATGCACATAACAATACTCTCCCGACAAACGGCATGTCGATTGCAGGCCAACACGAAAGAAGAACGGGCACCACAAAAGAGCATGCATTCCCAACAAAGGTATAATGCCCATGGCCGTAAAATGGCCATATAGTGTCCGGATGTGGAGGGTGTCTGCAGTCAGGAATGGAGGGACAGTCCTCTACACACATGGATGCAGAAACCATGTCAGAGTAGCGACTGTGACAGTGCGATGGCAGCTACAGCCCAGAGAAATAGTGTTTGTAGTTTTGCGAAGGAGCAGAGTGTTGGTACATTGTCCTGCTGCAGCATGAGGATAAATATACATATTTTACAGGAAAGGAAGTCATAGGAAGGTAACATGGCCTTGTGCCCCAGCAAGACAATGTGCCACGGTCCCCACGTCCTGATTGAGAAGTGAAAATAACATTGCGAAGAGGACCTACCTCACGAGCTTGCTCCGCAATTTGAGAAGTGTCCAGCACTGCCTGCACAAGAAGGAGGAGCCAGAACAACAACAAAGCCAACACAACTACGATCAATGCCATCAGATGGTTGCATTGCTCACATAAACATGAACTGTCTCATCTCCCTGTTAACAAGATAGGCCAGCAAGCATCCACCTGCAACAGTAAGAATTTTGGGTACATGCCAGATGGTTCATTCTCACATGGGGAGTGGCAAGTGGATAAAAGTTAGCAATAAGGAGTATGCAGATTCTATAATGCACGACATGTCCTTGGCAATGGCTGTCGCTTCTGTATGTATGTTGATGTGCAGATCGGTTTCATAGCCATCACTGTTGCACCCAGTCCGCAATTTCCAGCGGGTTTGAAGGTTTCTGTGGCTTTTGGTTGTCAGGCAACAAGATTGTACTGACACAAATTGGGAACTGAATTCACATCACAGTGATCACACTCTCTGGATTTAACAAACTATAACAGCTGAGTTCTGTCTCTCTCTCTCTCTCTCTCTCTCTCTCTCTCTCTCTCTCTCTCTCTCTCTCTCTCTCTCTCTCTCTCTCTCTCTCACACACACACACACANCACACACACACACACACACACACACACACACACACACACACACACACACACACACACACAGTGTACGTTCCCAACCTCTCAAGCACTCTCCCTTTCTCAATCCCTCTCAAATGCTGTCTCGACACCAAGATTGCAGCTGGGTACATTCTTGGCATAGACCGCCAGGGGCCCATCACCAGCGCCCTGCAAGCTCGCATGATATTTCAGGACTGCCTTAATTATTTTAAGACTGATCCCGCTTTTAGAACTGTGTTAAACTATGTTCGCTTCCCTTCCCAATATCGAGCCTGAAATCATCAGAACTCTAACTCTCTCTCTCTCTCTCTCTCTCACACACACACACACACACACACACACACACACAAACACACACACACACACAGTGTACGTTCCCAACCTCTCAAGCACTCTCCCTTTCTCAATCCCTCTCAAATGTTGTCTCAACACCAAGATTGGAGCTGGGTACATTCTTGCCATAGACCACCAGGGGCCAATCACCAGCACCCTGCAAGCTCGCATCATTTTTCAGGACTGCCTTAATTATTTTAAGACTCATCCCGCTTGAACTATGTTCGCTTCCCTTCCCATTATCGAGCCTGAAATCATCAGAACTCTCTCTCTCTCTCTCTCTCTCTCTCTCTCTCTCTCTCTCTCTTTTGATGTGCGCAGTTGCGCGCGTTTGTGTGTGGAGGTGTGTGCGTTCGTGAGTGTTTGTGTTGAGCAATTCCAGTGGTGACCTTGAAAGCGTTTGTGTTGAGCAACTCCTTGCCTGCGTTTGTGAGAACCTCCGGTGGCTAACATTGAGCGACCATCTTCGAAATGAATGGTACCAGAATCGTCGAGTGACAGTCACACGGCCGTCACATTTTTTTTTGTTTTTTTGCCGTTACATTAGCCAGCACCTCTAACCGACTACCATCATGACTTTTTTGCATATGCAGTAGTGCATTTTTTTCCTTTTCAGTGGCTCCTCAGCCATGAAGTCAGACCCGATCATCAGATACGGGTCTGACACACCTTTCAAGGTTTTCACTGTCGAGCCGAGGTACCCGCCAGGTTGCTGTCGAGCTCAGGTACCCGCCGGGTTGCTCGGGTCACTTGGTTGCCTGGGCGGCCCGGTGGGTGAAGGCCAACAAAGGTCCCTCCACCGGATGAAAAAGAAAAAGAAACCTGAGTACGGACGCCACCCGGCCGGGCAGGGCCCGGGCAGGTCGCCCGGGCAAACCGGGCGGGCCAAAAAACAGCCCAGAGATATATATATATATTTTTGAGGGCGGGGTCGTGCTGTGCTCGGCGAGGGGACCCCGAATCTTCAATAAAATTTTAGTTTGGGTGTGGGGGGGGGCGGGTGGTCTGGTGTGAGGGGGGGGTTATGGGTGTTGGGGACTCTGCATGTATGTTGCCTGCTGTTTTGCTGCATGTGTGATACCGAGTATATACTAGGA